CAAACCATTAAACCATGCTGGGTCTCACCCAGTTCCTTATTCCTACTCTATAGTTGTGCCAATATATCAAGCAGCAACATGTGAATGGTCTCTGAAAATTTCAATTTCAATATTTCTAATGCATAAATTATTTTGGTCTTGATTTACTACATTCTTCTTAAAGTATTTGTTAATTTCAAAGAGGCATTTTAAAATTAAGCACTATCTCTTTATACACACATATATGAATTCTAAATTTTGGAACTTTAGATCTGAGGTGTAAATATCTCTGTAAAGGCTTTCATGCCAAAATAGAAATCTTTGTCTCTGACTTAACCATATATGGTTTAGAAATACCCTTACATTTTGGTACATTTCTGTTTGCTCCATCTATAGTGTTGCCCCTATGATACGCTTTCCCCCATCCTAAACTGAAAGCCTTACCCCACTGTTTTATCTTTCTTGGGCTCCCCTCACATATTTTCTATTCCTACCTCACCCAGGGTTTTATTTTATCTCATCCATTTGGTCTGCCCATCCTGTTCGATATGGTATTGTTGTGTTGTTGTTCATTCGTTCAGTCGTCTCCGACTCTTCGTGACCTCATGGACCAGCCCACGCCAGAGCTCCCTGTCGGCCGTTACCACCCCCAGCTCCCTCAAGGTCAGTCCAGTCACTTCAAGGATGCCATCCATCCATCTTGCCCTTGGTCGGCCCCTCTTCCTTTGCCTTCCACTTTCCCCAGCATAATTGTCTTCTCTAGGCTTTCCTGTCTCCTCATGATGTGGCCAAAGTACTTCAACTTTGTCTCTAGTATCTTTCCCTCCAGTGAGCAGTCGGGCTTTATTTCTGGAGGATGGACAGGTTGGATCTTCTCGCAGTCCAAGGCACTCTCAACACTTTCCTCCAACACCACAGCTCAAAAGCATCGATCTTCCTTCGCTCAGCCTTCCCTAAGGTCCAGCTCTCACATCCGTAGGTTACTACAGGGAATACCATGGCTTTGACTAGGCGGATCTTTGTTGTCAGTCTGATGTCTCTACTCTTCACTATTTTATCGAGACTGGACATTGCTCTCCTCCCAAGAAGTAAGCGTCTTCTGATTTCCTGGCTACAGTCTGCATCTGCAGTAATCTTTGCCACTAGAAATACAAAGTCTGTCACGGCCTCCACGTTTTCTCCCTCTATTTCCCAGTTATCAATCAGTCCAGCTGCCATAATCTTGGTTTTACTGATGTTTAACTGCAACCCGGCCTTTGCGCTTTCTTCTTTCACCTTGATTAGAAGGCTCCTCAGCTCCTCCTCGCTTTCGGCCATCAAAGTGGTGTCATCTGCATATCTAGGGTTGTTAGATATAACAATTCTGACCCCAGCCTTGCATTCATCAAGCCCCGCATCGCATGATGTGTTCTGCATACAAGTTGAATAGGTTGGGTGAGAGATGCAGCCTTGCCGTACGCCTTTCCCAATCTTGAACCAGTCTGTTGTTCCGTTGTCAGTTCTTACTGTTGCTACTTGGTCCTTGTACAGATTCCTCAGGAGAGAGACAAGGTGGATTGGGATGCCCATCCCACTAAGAACTTGCCACAATTTATTATGATCCACACAGTCAAAGGCTTTAGAATAGTCAATGAAGCAGAAGTAATGTTTTTCTGAAACTCCCTGCCATTATCCAGCATCAGGATATTGGCAATCTGGTCTCTCGTTCCTCTGCCTTTTCTAAACCCAGCTTGAACATCTGGCAACTCTCGCTCCATGTATTGCTGGAGTCTTCCTTGCAGGATCTTGAGCATTACCTTATATTGTGTTAATTTACTTTATTTATTTTATTTTGCTACTGTAACTATTTTCTGATGTAATTTTTGTTCTGTATTTTATTGTGCTGTTTTGTATTTTTGGGCTTGGCCTCACGTTAGCTGCCCCGAGACCCCATTGGGGAGATGGTGGTGGGGTATAAATAAATAATAATAATAATAATATTACATGGAACAACCTTATAAGATAGGCAATTATTAATAACACTGTAGTGTATGTTGACACATGAGTGTGACCACGCAGACCAAGGAAGGCCTCAAAGAGAGTTTACAGCAGTTGTTTTGTGCCTTCAAGTCATGTCCAATTTATAGCGAATCAAAGCAGTTTTCTTGGCAAGATCTATGGGGAATGGTAGTGCTTTTGTCTTCTTCAAAGGCTGATGAAAGAGTGTGAATTGCTCAATGTCACCCAGTGGGTTGCCAAGGCTGAGCGGGTATTCAAACTTTGATTTCCCAAGTTGTAGTTCAATATTCAAATCACAATACCAAGATAGTTCACATTATCAGGAAAGGTAAGAAACACATTCAGTTAGTCAAACCCATGCATCTTATGCAGTTGTAATCCCACTAGTTTCAATGAGGCTTTTGCCTTAATGAGGTGCAATCATAGACATGTTTTCTGGGAAGTAAATACCATTCTGTTTAATGGTACTTACTTCCAAGTTACAATCCTTAAAAAGCTGAAGCTCAATTTCCAGAGTATTACAAATGTAGAGGGCCCTAAGATGCATGCTTACTTGGAATTGATTCCTGTGGAATATAATGGATTTTATTTTTGGGTAGACATGATCTCAACTACATTCTTACTTATTTATGTAGTTTATTTACATACAGACTTCCTCTATGTATAGGATGAATTCATGTTAAGCATTTTCAACACTTGAAGCATATGCATAGTTAGAATTCTAGATCATAGTATGCCAACATTAAATTAATCAAGAAATGAATTATGTCTTGTTCTGAGAACTAAGGGAATACTCATTCAGGGAAAAAAAACTACTGAAGAATTTAATTTCTGCCATTTGTGAACCTTTATGGTCAAAGCTTAATTCAAATGAAATTTATGCTTTCTGGGAAATATAACTAGGTAATAATCACTGCAACAGATATGATTACTTTTTAGAGGTTTCCTCTGGAAAACCAGCAGCATATTCCTTAGTTCACTAGCAACTGTGCTTTGTTTTCTTTCTTATTGTAACACAAAAGAATCATTACTTTCTTTACTTGAGAAATTGGTTTGCAATTAGAAAGAAAGTAATGTATTTCTTTTGTATTTCAAGTTACAAAGCACAACCCCGATATTTACTGGGAATATGTTTCAAGACCCTTGAGGATACCTGAAAACCTGAATAGCAAACATTTTTTTTTACTATGTGGGGGGCCAGAAGCATACCACAGAAAAGGACTGGAGGACTGAAAGATACCCACGAATGCTTTTGAACGGGGATAAATTTTGAAGTCTGTGTAGGTGAGGCTGTGGCTATCAAATCCTAAAATAAGGGAGTCATAATGTTTATTTTATTTATCATATTCCGTACTGCTTTGTATAGAAGAACAGTACAACCATCTCCAAATTTGGAAGGGATCGTTCTCAATTTAATGAGGATATTGTAGCCATGCAGCTTCCCAGTGAGCTGCTATATTGTACACCAGTTGCGCCTGTACCTTGGGAAGTCAAGATTTGGCCATGGTGGTCCACGCTCGTTACATTGAGAATAATTACTGCAATGCGCTCCACGTGGGGTTGCTTTTGAAGACTGTTCAGAAGCTTCAAATGGTCCAATGGGCAACAGCCAGATTGCTCACCAGAGCGGCCTACAGAGAGCGCCCAACTCCCCTGTTATGTCAGATCCACTGGCTGCCAGTCTGCTTCTGAGCAAAATTCAAAGTGCTGGCTTTAGCCTATGAAGCCCTAAACCAGTGGTTCTCAACCTGTGGTTCCCCAGGTGTTTTGGCCTACAACTCCCTGAAATCCCAGCCAGTTTACCAACTGTTAGGATTTATGGGAGTTGAAGGCCAAAACATCTGGGGACCCACAGGTTGAGAACCACTGCCCTAAACAGTTCCAGTCCAGCTTACCTGTCCGAACGGATCTCCCTCTACGACCCATCTCTGGGATTAAGATAACCAGGGAAGGCCCTGCTCTCATCCCCACCCCCCTTGCAAACACAAATGGTGGGGATGAGAGACAGGGCCTTCTCAGTGGTGGCCACCTCGCCTATGGAACTCCCTCCCCAGTGAAATTAGATCTGCCCCATCCCTCTTGACCTTCAGGAAAAGACTAAAAACATGGCTCTGGGATTAGGCTTTTGGCCAGTAACGGGAGTAGTGCAATATGAGACCGGACCTGGAATATGATTTGGATCATGTGATTTTACTTGATGTTTTAATGCTGTTTTAAATGGGTACGGTTTTAATGTTTTTATTTACCTATGTATTAATATATGCCATTGAATTGTTTCCTTTGTAAGGCCGCCCTGCGTCCCCCGTGGGGTTGAGAAGGGCGGGATATAAATGGGGTAAATCAACAAATATATCTTCTCTTTCCCACACCAGGTATTTTTCAACGTGACAGGAGACAACCCAAGCTCCGCTGGCCCTCCGAGACACAGGCGGTTCCTTTGTCATTGGCAATATTGGTACTGTGATCTCCCGGGATAAGGTACCCTCTCCTGAGCGGGATACTGTGGTGTTAACAGATAAACGGAGACACAGCCTTGCAATGAGGCCTCTTCCACCATCCGCAGTGTGGCTGCTTCCGAGATCCCAAATGCAAACCTAAGAGGCAAAGACTGGCACAGGGGACTTTAGTTTTCACTGCAACAGGAAAGAACATACCGAAGAGGTAGAGGAGGAGGAAGAGGGATGGGGGAGGAGGAGGGGTGCGATCTCAAACGTTTCCCCCAATAATGAAGGCCGGGAAGGAGGAAGAGGAAGCGAGGCGAAGGCTGTATTTATAAAGGAGCGAAGGCGAGGAGGTGAAAAAAGGGCGAGCAGACCAAGCAGGAAGCAAGAGAAGGAGCCTGCGTGGCCCAGGAAGGAAAGCAACCAAGGTTTCCTCGCCTCCCCGGTATTTATTTCGCGGGGGAGAGAGAGAGTGAGAGAGAGGAGAGCCCCCTCCTGCGCTTCTCCTCCTCCTCTCTTCCACAAGAAGGCCTCTCCTCCTCCCTTCCCCCCCCCCCAGGCCCCTCTATCCCCGCCACAAACCTCGCCGTTGAAGGCTTTCACGGCCTCCATGTTGCGGCCGAGGGGGCGGCGGGCGGGCGCGGCGCGACGGTGCCTCAGGGCCTGTCCGGCTTCCCTACTGCGACGAGGGCCTCGGGCTTCCTTCAGGGCCAGTCCAGGCGCCTCGTCGCCATGGCGGGCGGGGCGGGGAGGGCTGCGCCGTTGCCAAAGACGCAAGAGCTTCTGCTGCGGCGCGAGCTCCAATATGGCGGCGGGCGGGCCGCGGCAGCAGCAGCAGCAGCAGCAGCAACAGCGCAGTTCCCTCGCATCGCCGCCGAGACGTCGGCTAGAGCGGCCCCTAGCGGGACAACCAACGAACGGACCAGCAGGCGACAGGAACCGCGGCGCCCCGAGAGGACAGAGCGTCCGCCGGAATCAGAGAGAGAGAGAGAGCAAGCGGGAGTTCTGGGAATGGGCTCCCCTCGCAGGAGGGAGGGTCGTACTGCAATGAGCCGCCCCTGGCAGTCATCAAGGCATGCGCTCGTTCCAAACTAACACAGTTCTGCGCAGGACAGAAAGAGCGTCAGGAGTAGTGGGCAGGTTGGGCATGCCTTCTTCAAGGCCCCGTCTACACTGCCGTATAATGCAGTTTGCATCTGTGTTATATGGTCAGTATATGCCAGGTGTGGGCAAACCTAGGCGCAGCTCGCTGAGTGTCAGCTGCATTAAGATCACTTCTGACCTGGGTCATGAGTTCAAAGCCAGCCCAGGTCAGAGTGAGCATCCGACCAATTGTGTCGCTTGTTGTCGACCTTTGCAACCCGAAAGACAGTTGCATCTGTCAAGTAGGAAAATTAGGTACCACCTATGTGTGGGGAGGCTAATTTAACTAATTTACGAGGCCATAAAAAGACTCCAGCAAAGCACTCCAGCAAAAGCATGCGGGGAATGTGGAAGTACTTCGCCAGTATCGCAGATGGATGATGAAAGCGACAGCTCCCCTGGCGGCCAGAAAAGTTAAATAGCCTCTGACTGTCTGTCTATGTCATGTGTCTTTGGCATTGAATGTTTGCCATATATGTGTACATTGCAATCTGCCCTGAGTCCCCTGCGGGGTGAGAAGGGCAGAATATAAATACTGTAAATAAACTGTAAATAAATCCATCTCTCCCTGTGGCTTGAGATGGATACAACATTGTTAAAACAAGAAATAAAACACTTAAAACATACCACAGAATACACAGAGTTAAAGTACAAGTTAAAACTCACAGATGAAATGCAGATTAAAATACACAAGTTAAAATTGGCTAGGCCTGCTGGAAGAGATAGTTGTGCCTTACAATCTGACAGGAAGTCGCTCCACAGTCTTGGAGCAGTTGATGAAAACGTTGCCAGTTGGGTTCTGGCAGGCTGGAGTAGCTAGCCACCCCCCAGAGGACCTCAGTGTTCGGGCCAGAGAAGGCGGTCCTGTAGATAACCTGGACACAAACCATACAGGGCTTTAAACGGCAAAACCAACACTTTGTAATTTGTCCAGAAACTCTCACTTCTAGATGTTCCTGCAACTACGCTGGCTGCCATGTGTTGAACTAATTGAAATTTCCAAATTTGGTACAAAAGTAGCCCAATGTAAAGTGCATTGCAAAAGTCCAACCTTGAGATTACCATCACATGCACTACAATCTTTAGGTCCCAAGCTGCCAATACAGACTTTCAGGGAGAGTGTAACCCTCTTTTGCCTCTTTTGTTGCGTTCATGCGTTCATTCAGAGGAGACACACTATCCCTAGCTAAAGTTTTTTAAGGTAAAATTCATTTTATGTTTCATTTTCACTTGCCTAGTTTCCAACAGACCTCACAACCTCTGCGAATGCCTTCCATAGATGTGGGTGAAATGTTCAAACCAACCCCTTATAAGAGATGTAGACAGATATAAAAATTGTAATAGGCAAATGTATGAGGACACAACATATCTCAGAAACCACTCATATTTTTAAAAAAATATACGACTTGTAAGATAAGATTTCCAAGATTTTTGTCATTTATCGCTACGTTCACGTTTGCTTATCACACCTAGACACTGAAGCCAGCACACTAATGTCTCACGGCACACAGTTTGGAAAACTCTGGTCTACATGGTACCTGCTTGGACCATTAGCTCTCCCAAACCTGAAGCTTTGTCTTTTTAAAAATTTAGATTTCTAATGCTTATGACTAGATGACAGAAAATACAGCTTGTTTTGTGAAGAAAGTGCTTACTTCAGACTTTTAGTGTTTTGTTAATGAATGATGCCTCTCTGTAAAATTGGTATTTAAATTGACCCTCTGTTGGGTTATTGTTACAATTTAAGCATAGGTTGCTTGCAAAGACACAGGTGAGCTCTTACAGAGGCACAGAATACAATGGAAAGAAAATGGCGGAACCAAATAATATGTTTTCACGGCACCAAGAAATCTTCTGCATTTGTGGCAACCACCATGCCAATCATTACTGGTTTTCCAGAAAACAAATGTTAAGTTTGATTTTATTTTCCCCAAATAGGGTGGCCCCATCTAGAAAGGAAGAAATGAGAGAAAGCAAGAGGAGAGGATGGATGGATAGATGAACAAACAGGTAAGGTAGATATTTCCTGTGAGTCTTAGGGCCCTTCCACACAGCCATATAATCCAGAATATTAAGGCAGAAAATCCCACAATATCTGCTTTGACTGGGTTATCTGAGTCCACACTGCCATATATTCCAGTTCAAAGAAAAAATGTGGGATTTTATTCAGCTGTGTGGAAGGGGCCTTCGATTTCTGCCAAGCAGTTTCAGATAACAAAGGAATTCCATCTTTCCTTGCCTTGGGTATATTGCATAATCTTTTGAAGTCTATTGTTTGTGACTCTACATGAATTTGAACTTACATTTGCACTCTTTGCACTCTTAACTATTAAACTGTACTGGCTCTCTCAAATTAATGTTTCTTGTATAAATTCATCAATAAAACATAGAAATGCTCAGTGTTTTTCGTGGTTACAATAGAATCACAGACTATAAGACGCACTGATGGAAAAACTATGCTAAATCATCAGGATAATAGCACCATCTAGTGAAAAAATCCTGTAAGTAACAAAGCAAGTGTTGCTGTGATGTATCATATGGATCAGGCGAATATAAACTCAAAATAATCTAAATCCCTTTCATGTGAAAGAACCATTTGCATAATTGCTTACACAAGTGAAACAGATCACAGTTTACTGTATTGTCGGAGGCTTTCATGGCCAGAATCACTGGGATGTTATAGGTTTTTCGGGCTACATGGCCATGTTCTAGAAGCATTCTCTCCTGACATTTCGCCTGCATCTATGGCAAGCATCCTCAGAGGTTGTGAGGTCACAACCTGAGCATGTTTGTCATAGATGCAGGCGAAACATCAGGAGAGAAAGTTTCTAGAACATGGCCATATAGCCCAAAAAACCTACAACAACCCAGATCACAATTTGTGAGTTAGTGCTTTATCTAGCATCTGTCTGTCTCAGATTATTTTTTTCTCAATGTCATCTGCTTTAGAGAATGAGTAACAGACTCCTACACTGCCATATCAAATCCAGATTGCATTGGAGTATATGGTAGTGTAGATTCATATAATCCATTTCCAAGCAGATAATTTGAATTATCTGATTTGATAATCTGGATTATATGGCAGTGTAGAATCATAGAATAAGAGAGTTGGAAGAGACCACATGAGCCATCCAGTCCACTTTTTGGAACCACAGCATTCCTTTCTGGAAGGGGCCACAGATCATTTTCATGGCACGACTACAAGACAATGCCTGGACCTTCAGTGCTTATGTAGAAGAAGCGATTTTGGCAAATACAGTTTAAGGAGAAACAAATCAATTTTTAGAGATACACTTTCTGTGTTTTTGTCTCCCTAAGCATAAGAGTGCTTCAGGAGCTTTGAGATTCTGTTAATTTCAAATATTGGCTTTAATTCAAAGACATGCCATTCAATTCTGGATTCAGGATATATTTGAAGCACTGCTCTCATTTATAAATTTGTATTTAATAATATGCACAGATGTGCTAATTGGCATGCACATAACTGGGATAACAATACTCCTTTTAGCTCTGTGCCAAACCATGCAGACCAGAAAATTCTGGGAGTTATAGTTCATAAAAGATATTTTCTATGTGCCCAGATAAATAGGAAACTGCTTTATTATGCATCAGAGGATTGACTGAGGCCCCTTGTATACTGCAATATAATCCAGATTACAAAACCAGATATTCCACATTATCTGCTTTGAACTGGATTGTATGAGTCTACACTGCCATATACTCCAGTTCAAAACAGATAATCTGGATTTTATATGGCAGTGTAGAAGGGGCCTGGCTGACTGGCAGTGACATTCTGGGATTTCATGCAAACACTTCAGAGAGGAAAACTGGGACATATATGGCCGATATGATGGGCATTATTAATGAGGAACAACCTGAGAGCTAGGAGAGGTTGCAGCAGATTGGTTTTTTTTCCTGATCCTACTGGCTCCTTTAACCACTGTTGAATTTTGTTGAACACAAAATCCTTTTAAACTTTAGATTCAGTTTGCCTCTTTTGAAGCAAGACAAGACAAAAGAGGGAAAGTGGAAGGAGGAAAGAGAGACTGAGGATTTTAAAAAACATTTTAAAAGTGGAAGAAGATTTATTGGGATTGTCCCTGCCAAATCAGGACATTTAGAAGGTTTAGGATTTCAGATTTCCCCCCAATCCTACCTAGAAATGTTTATGGATTGAAATTGTAAGCATATAAATATATAAACCATAAACTGTGTGCTCTAAAATTAAGTTATGGCTTCTAAGATATCTAGAACTGCAGCCTTGTCTACCTTGCATTCTACATTTCAGTGCCATCTTTTAAGTAAAACCCCTGTTAACAGCTGCTTTCACTGTAGGTTTCCAGGTTAAAAAGCTATAGAGCATGTGGGAATGATTATATCTCAGAATTATTCAATATCATTTCTGACAAGCACAAGCTGGTAGTCGTTGTGGTTGTCTGCTGTGAAAAAAATGGAGTTGATTTGGTAAGTGGTTGTGCTTATTATGTAATTTCCTGAACAGATTCTAACCAGGATAAAAGTTAAGTTCCACAGTGCAAGAAACGTGTCGGTCCTTTCCTGGATCTCTGTTCAAGGCAGAAAGCAATTTAACTTGGCTACTAGCATAGGCTTGGAGAGAATGCATCAGAAAAAGCAAACTGCACCTTTGGGAAGGTATATATTTCTGCTCAGTGCTACCCTAATTGGTCAGAAATATTTTCAGAATTCACATTGTTCTGATTGAATAAAGATGGAACAAAAGAGGTGTGCAACTCATCCAATATCTCAGTAAATTGGACAATTTAGCCATATGATTTAATTTCTATTTGCTAATACCCAGCTAAACCTGCCTGAACTACTTGCTGCAGTTCTAGTGTGGACCATATAGTGCTATTGAAAAGGTTTTTGAAATACATAAAAATGCTATGAACATTCAGATATCTGTGTGTGATAGCTGCCATAGGTATCTGATTCAAAGTGTCATAGAAAGGAATGGGGGGAAAAACAGTTATGAAATTAGGCTCTTGAGGCCAAAGATTTCACAATTAACCCATTAACGGTATATAAACAACTGCATTAAAATCAACCCATTTAAAAACATAAACATTAAAACATTGGAACATCAGTTAAAATCACAAAATCCAGATCGTATTCAATAAAGTTTTATATAGGTTAATATCCTGTCATTCTTTCCCAAAGCAGGATGCACAGAAGCAAGACCTAATGGCCGAGAAAAGAGCTGAACCTATATTTGCTGGATCATGCTTATATTATGCTATATCTCAGTGGTCCTCAGCCTGTGGGTCCTGAGGTGTTTTGGCCTACAACTCCCAGAAATCCCAACCAGTTTACCAGCTGTTAGGATTTTGGGAGTTGAAGGCTGAAACATCTGGAGACCCACAGGTTGAGAACCACTGATATCTACTTTTCTCCTGTCCATTAGATCTATGAAGGAGATAGAATATGCTTGAGGGAGATGGGCAGATGATTTGAGACAGGCAACAATGGCCTTATTGTAACAGTGCATGGATAAGTGAGTGGTGCAGCATTTGGTGGGCCTATTGGAAAGCCCTATAGCTGGAGGGCCAAACATATGACAGCTCTGGTATAAACAGGATCAATAATCTGATTCCATGCAAAGCAAATTTCTGTGTTTGTCTGAATTAATAGCCCAGTATGATATTAGTAGTACAATCATTTCTATGTCTACCAACCCACCGGGTTTCACAAAGAAGGGGGCAAAGTTAGTATTTGCAAAACATAAAAGTATCTTTACTTACAAAAATGTTTTCATATTCAAGCACTTTCTCTAATGTGCTTGAATATGTCTAATGGAGAAGAGGGAAATGGCTTACACGAAGGCTCCATAAATACAGTATATACTATACATACTAGCAATGAGTGGGTTTGTGTGTGTGTGTCAGGAATGACTTGAGAAACTGCAAGTCGCTTCTGATGTGAGAGAATTGGCTGTCTGCAAGGACATTGCCCAGAGAACGCCCTGATGTTCTAATGTTTTACCATCCTTGTGGGAAGCTTCTCTCATGTTGCCGCATGGGAGCTGGAGCTGACAGAAGACGCGGAACCTGCTCTTCCCAGATTCGAGCAGCTGACCTGTTAGTCAGCAGACCTGCTGGCACAAGAGTTTATTTATTTATTTATTTATTTATTTATTTATTTATTTACTTTGCTTATATACCGCAATTCTCAGCCTAACGGCRACTCATTGCGGTGTACAACATGGAAAACAGGTGCAAAATACAACATAAAATAAAATAATCCWCTGTACATCCTTATCAAAACATCTCATCAAAAACATCAACATTACTACAAGCCATTCCGAGTCGTCTCATCGTCAAATTCACAATCCGATACCATTTCCGTTGTTCCATTCCTATAGTCGAGTTACCAGTCATTGCACTTCTATTCAAATGCCTTCTTAAACAACCAGGTCTTTAGCTTCCTGCGGAATAACAACAGGGAGGGGGCTAGCCTGATGTCTACGGGAAGGGAGGAGCCGAGGAGCTCCACAGCCGAGGAGCTCCACAGCCGAGGAGCCACCACCGAGAAGGCCCTATCTCTCGTCCCCGCCAGCCGTGCCTGTGACGCAGGCGGGATCGAGAGCAGGGCCTCCCCGGAAGATCTCAAAGTCCTCGTGGGCTCATAGTTTAGCCCACTGCTCCATCAGGGACTCCAATGAGTGGGTAATATTGCTTACTGTAACAGTCACAAAGGTAGCAGATGTTTAGATATAAAGCGATAGCATATGTATAGAATCATACATTGGGAAAGTTGCCTTTTTGGACTACATGTCTCAGAATTCCTGAGTCATTGCCAATAGCTAATTTCTTCTTAGAACTCTCTGTTTTGTACATAATTATTATTATTCTTGTTATATTGCAAACCTAGAACAGAATTTATACTGTGGCTTGTAGCCTGTGTCCTAACAACAACTGCTGTGATGTGATAGTAATTTGAAAAGGTCTTCTGACATCATAGGTCGAATCCGCTGGGTACTATCCCAGAGAACAGAATATGGCCTTTTAAGCCTCCCTGAATGTGCTTATTGATTTTTTGGCAGGAAACACCGCTGAGATAACCAAAGAATGAACAACATGGCAAGCTCAAGAAATTTTCTACTGATGTCCTCTTCTTGCTACCTCCTTTTCCAGTCAGCTTGACCTGCCTTCACACTTAAGTGGCAGTCCGGCAGTTAAAAAAAAATCCTTTTAATGTCAAAGGTACCATACAATCAGTCTTAAGGATGGATAGAGGCACTGAGTGCTTTACTTTTGTTCTGTTTTAATCTTGATGGCCTTTGGCATGTCTACCAACATGGCCTTTGGCCATCAAGATTTTTTTTAAAAAAAAATATGAGGGCAATTGTTACACTACTCCCTAGCAACTCAAAAAGAATGCCATAACATTACAATTCAGTTTCTTATGAGGGAAGAAATACAGTTCTGCTTGTGCAGGTCTGAACTCAATGCAGACAGTCAGGACTGGGCTGTTTTACCACATTCATATGGGAAAAGAGGGAGGAAAAATGCAGCTCTAACTCAAGAGTTTGCAAAAGTTATGTTTTTAGATAGAAACTCATAGAATCTTCCACTAAGTGTGGCTGGTTGCCATGATAAAGGTAGGATGAATCTGGTAGTCATAGAATTATAGAGTTGGAAGAGACGACATGGGTCATCTAATCCGGCCCCCTGCCATGCAGGAAAAGCACAGTCAAAGCACCCCTGGCAGATGGGAGAGAGTTTCACTGTTGAACAGTTCCCCAAAATAACTTTTCCAAGCTCTGCTTTAACTTTCCTATATAACCTTCCAGATTTTTGGAAGGACTCTTTCAGAAGTTTCTTACACACTGCTTATTTAACGTTCCAGATTCCTCTTGTATTTGAACACATTATGCAGACTTGTTTAGAACATTGAAAGACAAAGAAAACTATGCTCTAGGACAGTGATGCTCACCCTGTGGGTCCCCAGATGTTTTGGCCTTCAACTCCCAGAAATCCTAACAGCTGATAAACTGTATGAGATTTCTGGGAGTTGGAGACCAAAACATCTAAGAACCCACAGGTTGAGAACCACTGCTCTAGGAGAATCAACTACTTCAGACTTGACCAGTCAAGTCATGGACAGGCACATCTATACCTCTTTTATTCAGCTCTTCTCTCTCAGTTCTCCAGCACAGACCTGACATGCAGTTGCTTGGGATGCTTATTTTATGATGAATCGGATGGTTTGAATTTATCATACAGTTTTAAATGGCCATATAAAAGCCAAGGCCACTTGGAGCTGCAAGCAACTTATCCTAACAGGATGTAGAGACTAGTGTATTGATGGCAAGTTCCAATTTTCACTCAAAGGGCTGCATTGACAAGAGTTTTTTTTTTCCAAACTGGAAGTTGTGTTCATAACGTACAATATAGAGTTGGAAGGTAATAATAATAGAGTTGCTGATAGGCCTTGGCTGAAGCACTGCCTGAATTCAAGAACTTCTACAGAAGCTGAAAAGTTAAATGGAAGGAGATTCAAACAGATAAAAAAGTGAAGTGGCACTGACCCCCAAATTAGGATGGTTGCAGAAAGGAGTCGGAAAAAGAAGCTAGGATTTAAGGGAAGATTATGGGAAAACCAAAGAACGATTGCAGGCGGAGCTGTAATAAAAGTGATTTTTTATTGCAGGCAGGACTGCAATAAAGGCCTTTTTGGTGTCTAAAATTTAAGAAAAGTTTTATTTCCATGTTACCGTACATTAGGAGGCTAAGGAAGAGTTGAGGGCAGACTGCAAGACTGGTTAACAGGATGGATGAAGAAAAGCACAGAGATTGCATTAATGCTGGTTTATTACATACTGTTGTTTTAGTTGAATTTCTGGTGTATTTATTATGTGTCATGTATTTTTAATCTGATGTTGTTTTATGTTGAATGGCATTGAATTGTTGCCGACTGTTTCCCGCTCTGAGTCCCTTAATGAGGAAGAGAAGGCGGGATATGAAACAAAATAAATAAAATAAAATGTAATTGCTTAGAAAACAAAGTAGGCTGAAATAAGGAGTTGAAAAAAGCAAAAATATATATGAGGAAATTGTTATCCAAGGTCTAGAACATTCCACATACTGTTACTCTGAAAGGGTGTTGATTTTGCTTATTTAGGGCACTTCCACACAGCCATACAACCCAAGGCCGTTCCACATGGCTGAATAAAATTCCACATTTTCTGCTTTGAACTGGGATATATGGCAGTGTGGACTCAGATAACCCAGTTCAAAGCAGATATTGTGGGATTTTCTGCCTTTATATTCTGGGGTATATGACTGTGTGGAAGGGTCCTTGGTCTTCCTTCCAAGCATAGTTGGTTATTCATCTGTTAGAAAAGCTTGTTCAAATTCTTTATAAGAATCTATTCTTCTTCATGGTATTTATAATTTTAAAATGGTGCTAAGAATCTACACTGTATGTACACACATACACGCAACTCCTTTTAAACTTTAAGATGTACAATCAAACAAGTGAGTCAGGCTAAAATAGAGATGGGCAACTTTTGGTCCTCCAGATGCTGTTAGATTTTATCTCAAGTGTTCCTTCACTGTTGCCTTTCTTGGCCAACGCCACATGTGTCTAACTCAAGCCCTTGGGCCATATCCACCCTACTACGTCATTTTATGTGGCCCTCCAGATGCTGGACTACAACTCCTGTATTCCCTTATACTTAGGCATCATAATGAACTGATGGAAATTGTGATATAGTAGCATCTGGAAGGCTGCAATTTGTTCTGCTGGGTTTCAATTTATATACAAGGCTTATGGATATGTTGTCTAACTTTTAAATGCCCTTTAACTTTTCCCCAGCCTCAGAGCCACAAGTGCTATTGTGTTGCAATTCCCATGGCCCCAATCTGCATAGTGGACAATAAAAAAAGATGGGAGTTGTCATTCAATAAGATCTAGGGACCCAAACTTGGTAAAAACTCAAGAGCACTGACCACTATGTAAAAAATATATACTTGGCCCTCTGCATCCACAGATTTTTCATCCATTGATTCAACAGTCCTTTGAAGGCAGCCATAAGGCTCATGTGGCGCTAGATGAAAATGAGTTTGACACCCCTGGCCTATAGAGTCCACTTGTGATCAGTTGCCAGATTAAATGACAAAGAACAGCATTCTGTCTGAAATCCCTCAGTCTCTTATTATAGACTATGCACTAGATGGCAGTATAAGAACTGAAATATGCAACAAGCAAAGTTAATGGCTATGAACAGTACAGGTAACAATTCTGCTGGTTCAGTTGAAGATTGATATCTAGGGTTCATAGAGTCAGCCGGATACATTCATTGTAAGATTATTGTGTGTGGAGGGGTTTATAACCCCTTGACATTAAGAAGTGCCCAAGATTTTCACTGGATGCCAGTGATAAATGAGAAGATTCTCTAATAGTACTGTTCAGTTCTACATTATTATTAACATCTCCATCACCTTTTAAATAATATCATCTATTATTTCTATAATATAACCATCTATCCAATTTGAAGTGCTTGAAGAAACTCACAAAAGAGGGCTGAAAACCATAAGATATACAAATGTTTAAAGACAGCTAAGAGATTATGAAATTCTTAAAAAGCTAAAAGAGCAAAAAGAAAGGAAAGGGTCATCTGAAATAAAAAGGAGATAATTCCAGAAGATTGATGCCACAACGGACATGACCCTACTGTGTTTCCTAAGTTCAGAAATGAGAATGATAGTCTATCAAAGTGTTCTGTGTGGCATCTCAGATACCCTATCATTGAAATAATTTTAATTTTAAGGATGGTCAAAGGTTATAGTTAAGAAGAATTCAGAAGAAGACTAGGACTTAGAAGAGCAGCTATGAAGGAATGAAGCGTAAGAATAGATAATTGAATTCTAAAGAAATACATGCTACTGCATTTCTAATTTCTATGCATGATTGTGAAATCTGGGCTGTGAAGAAAGAGACTGAAAGAAAATCAACTCTTCTGAACTGTGATGCTGGCGGTATCATGGACTGCTAAGAAGACAAATAAATGGTTCCTGGACAAAATTAAGCCTGAACTCTCCTTAGAAGCCTGCATGACTACATTGAAACTGTCATGCTTTGGGCATACCATGAGAAGTCATTACTCACAAAAAAGTCAATAATGCTTGGCAAGGGAGAAAGCAGAAGGAAAAGAAGATTCTCTCAAATATGCATAGAGTCAATCAAAGAAGCCGCGGCCCTGAATTTGTAGGATCTGCACAGAACAGGCACCCTCAAACTTCGGCCCTCCAACTGTTTGGGCCTCCAACTCTCAGAATCCCTGACCAGTGAAGAAGCTGGCTAGGGCTTCTGGGATTTGGAAGCCAAAACAGCTGGCAGGCTGCTGTTTGAGGGTGCCTGTGATAGTGATTTGAAGGTATCTCGTTCATAGGACCCCCAGAAATTGAAGTCAGTTGATGGCAGTTAACAACAACCATACTGCCCAGCAGAAATCATATGTGTTCATCACTAGATGTATCTGATTATCCCAGCTAAAACAACTGAAGTCTAATTTTTGCAAACATATAATAGTTTTAAAACCATACATTTCAATTTTGCTTTAGATTATCACCAGTTTTGGACCAGTCTGGGGGATTGCATCAGTTATGGTCCATCCTTTCAGGTCATCCTTTTAAACCAGAAAGTCTTTTATCTTTTATACCCTTAATATGTGTGCTCTCCCATCAAATAACATTATACTGTGAAACCTTCTTAGGATGACATGATCAGTTTGGGGCCAAACTGATAGAACTACTAAACTAAGAAACATTTCCCATCTTGACTGGTAGCTGAGAGCCTCTCTTGTTTATAAAGATCCCACATCACTTTACGCAATGTGCGTGATGGCTTCACCTCATTATTTAAGAGATCAGAGCCATTACTAATATGTGCCAATTCCTTTTCTTTTTTAAAAGTAGAAGCTTACCCAAGGAGTTGTGTGTACTTTCTTCTGAACTTTCATTTCTGATTTTTTCCTCAGCCCATCAAAGATCAAATGATGCAGACAGTGGTTGCTGTTGCTTCTGTGCTTCAGAGCCTCCTAACCGCATATTATTCAGCATATAAACGAAACAGATGAATCACTGTTGTCTCTTCAGAGGACAATAAGGATGGCTCAAATGTTGATCATCCCTATAACAGGAAATACAAGAGCACTTCAAAGCTTGTTTGGGTTTATTTTCATTTGTGTC